TGGTCAGGCAAATGTTACAAAGCTTTTTTAGCTTCCTTAAAAGTTCCCAGAGGCACCTCACTCTGCCAGGACCTCCTGCCTGAAGGCACTCAGCTCTCTCACTCCATGGGTTGGCAAGACTACCATAACTGCCTCTACTGTGGGCCAGGAAGCCCACTACACTGTCTCACGTTGGTCCCCTGGTTCTGCTGCTGCTTCTCACCATCTCGTGCCATCTCTGGTGTTGGATCTCTTTTTTCTGTCTTCTGGATCTAGGAAGTTCTTCATGCAGGGACCCTGGCTCCAAAAGACATGCTCCACTCCTGGCTTTTCTTCTTGGTGGTGGCTGAGGACACCCCACCCCCCCGTCTGCCTCTAGAATGGCTTATTTTAAGCCTAGCAGGTTGGCAAAACGAACAACCCCCTTGTTGGAATCCTGTACACCTTATTTGCTTGGTGCCATCCCCAAAAGGGTGTCATGCACCTTATTTGCATTATCAGTACGCCATCTAATCTCTTAGGTGGGGCACAGGCACCTCATTTGCATAGCCCCACCCCATCATTTGGTGGGAGTCATAGATGATGGTGAGAAAGGCCATATAAAAGTGATCCATTGCACGGCAGTGCCTCAGTCCTTTCTTTGCGTTTCTGTGACCTTCATATTTTAGAAGTGTACAGGCCAGTTACTGTGTAGCACGTTTCTCAGTTTGGGTTTGTCTCATGTTCCCTCATGATTAGATGTACCCTGTGTGTCCTAGTCAGGAATCTCACAGAACATGATGCTGTGTTCTCAGGGCATCACATCAGAAGGCATGCAATGTCCACTTATTCCATTACAAGTGACATTCACTGCCTTCAGCTCATAAGGTGATGTGTCTGCCAGGTTTCTCCACTGTAAAGTTACTGGTTTTCCCTTTGAAATTAATGATCATCTCATGAGGGAGCTACTTTCAGAAAATGTAAATATCACCCACTAGTTTTTTTTTCTCTTTTAGTTGAGGTAAAATTTACATAACATAAAAGTCACCATTTCAAAGCGGACAGTGGCTTTTAGTATAATCACAGTTTGTCACCTCTTAGTTTTAGTACATTGATGACTCTTGCCTGAATCACTTATGATCATTGTCAAATGGGGGTTTTCTAATTCTACCACTTATAAGTTGACATTCTTTTTTTTTTTTTAGTTGTGATTTGGGTGAAGATTTATAGAGCAAATTCACTTTCCATACAGCAGTTTACATATACTTTGTCTCATGACATTGACCACAGTTTACCACAATGCAATAGCTCCCCTCCCACTTCCTCCCCATAGTTACCTCTTCCCTGTGTCCATCCCTCCATGGACTCCTGCCCCCTGAGCTGTCTCCCTGTGCATAGGCAGACCTTCTTTCTCCCATGATTATTCTCTCCAAGGAATATATCTACTTGAGGTAAATGTTCAACTCATATGCCTGTCTTTTGTTTGGCTGGAAGCCACAGGTGTGGGCTCAATTCCAGACCTGAAGGGCAGTTAGGGGCCATAGGCTCAGTGGTTCCACCAGGCTCTATCAGACGAGCAAACCTGGTCCCCATCTTTTTGTTTCTTCTCCAAATGATTTTGAGTTTTGTTCCACATTGTTCTTCTTCTCTATCAAGGATCTCCTACATAGATCCCCTTCCAAGTGGATGACAGTGGTAGCCGGGCACCATCTAATTCTTCTGGTCTTATAGTCTTATAGGCTGCAGATTGGATGGTGTACCAGTCGCTAGGACTAATTGTTTCCATGAATTTTGGTTTTCTTCATTTTTCTTTGCTCTGGACGAGGAGAGACCCATGGTTGCATCTAGATGGCAGCTTGCTAGCTTTTAAGATCCCAGTCGCTACTCACCAAAGTAGGAGGTGAAACAATGTTTTGTATAGTATGTTATGCCAATTGAGCTTGATGTCCCCTGTGACTATGGTGCCAAGCCCACAGGTTCAACTACTTGGTCCCTCTGGGTAGCCGGCTGTGACCAAGCAGTGACCACAACCTTGCCCCTTGTCAGCTCTACTATACACCTGAGAATTCTGATCATTCACATAAACTTATAGGACCATTGTCTGCCATAAGTTGACATTCTTCTACAAAAAGGGGCTTTCCCTTCTCTGCCATCTATCTGTATTTATTTGTGTCTTCAACTCATGGATCCTTATTTTATTCAATAGTTTATAAGCTACTGCTATCTTTTTTTTTTTCCATAGTTATACCATGCTGGTATTGGGTGAGGGCCTAACAGATTAACCTTGGTGGTTGATACAACTGTAGACATCTGTACAAGTTAAAAGAAAATCGTATTTGAAACTTGGAGAGTAAAGGTCAGGTTGCTTATGCAAATAAATGTTTTATTATTTCATATTTTATTACTTACTTTAACTTGTACATTAAAAAATTTTAAAACCATGATGTTGTTGATAGTTGCCATTGAGTCGATTCTGACTCTTGCAACCCCAAGTGTGCAGAGTAGAACTGCTCCATGGAATTTTCACAGCTGTGACCGTTTGGAGGCAAATCCCCAGGGCTGTCTGCTGAGGCACCTGAAAACCTGCCAAAGTATTTTACTTTGTGACCCATGAATGCTGAGATTAACAGGCAGACAATTTAAGCTGGCCAGGGTTATACAGCTCCTAGATAGTCCCTCACATAAGTCTATGATGGGGTTCTGTTTCGACGGCTCCATTTTAAGTTGTTTCTGATGAAAGTTAAATACTTTTTTTTTAAAGTTTTCATTATTATTATCTTCTATTATCTTTATAAAGCCAACTTTGAATATCTGTGTATGAACATCTCAGAATGATAACATCAGCAAATTACATGCTGCAACACTGTATACAGTACATGTTACTAACAATGAGATGTACAAAAACAGATGGTCATAAGTGCAGTTTTTTGTAACTCAAATATGTTGTAAGTTGTATGTTATAAGTCAGGGACTGCTTGTGTTCCTTTAAAGAATCCTGTTGTGAGAACTTAGCCAATATGAAAGAAAAAGAATCTCTGTTTTGGTGCTACGATTACAATCATAAACAGGAAAGAACACTTGACCTAACTCTAAAGAAGTATAACTCTAGGAGACCCTGTGATCCATGACAACAAAGGGGCTGGGCTATAAGTTGTTACTTCATGTTGATGCTCACATTGTCCAGGAGTTGGTCAGCTCCTCCGAGTTAATGCCTGTGTCCTTTTCACAAATCCCCACCATTTTTGAGCATTTCCTGTTTTCCTGGTACAAAAAAGATGTTCTAGGCTCATCTTGTATATTCCTTGCCTTAACCTTGACTGAGGTCTTTCTCCAAGAGCCCAGGTTTCTTTTAGTGGAGCGTGGTATGTAGAAATCAAGATTTGTGTACTAGGTGCTACTTTCTTCAGGGGTGTCTCAGTGGACAAAGTGCTCTCAGTGAATAGAGCTAGGAAATAAGATAAATGTATGTACACATAAACCACGCTCAGCTGCTAACTAAAAGATTGGAGGTTGGAGTCCACTTAGAAATACATTGGAAGGAAGACCTGGTGATCTAATTCCAAAAAACCAGCCGTCGAAAATCCTAGGAGCAGTTCTGTTCTGACACACATGGGGTCACCATGAGTCAAACTGAGTCAACAGCAACTCTTTTTATTATTTGCACATACAGGGATACATGTACAGACACATCGCTCATACATACATCTGTATTTTTTTAATTTATATCTTATTATTTATAGATATAAAACCAGAGTTCACACTTGGAATGATCTACTTCTCCAAAGAGCCTGGTTGCTTTTAATGGAGTATGATATTTAAAATCAGGGTCTTGGTACTAGGCTTGCCATCATTGCTTCTGGGGTGTCATTGCTTTTAAACTCTCTCAGTAGACAAAGCTAGAAAATACCTGTCTGTTTTCAATGCATGCTCTTTATGTCTCTGTCTTTTCTGTGTATTAAAACTGTGAGTATATACAGTGATCATTCCAGTTCCAGTCTGACACTTCAGGCTCATTTTCATTAGCTTTCCTGCCTTCCATATTTGTAAATTTCTTCTCTGAGGATGAGAAACCTGGCTACCCTTACTCTCAATCCCGCTTTATTTGTTGTATCTCTCAACTACACTGGCCACCACCTCAGTTGCTGGCTACCACTCTTCCTCAGCCTTACTGGCCCCAGCATTGAGGGTCACCTCTAGGTGAATTTCCAGCTGCTATCACGGTAGCCATGCTGCCAGTTGAGTCTCCATCCCAAGTGGCCTTGCTCCAGCCACACTGACCCAGGCCTGGTCACTGGCCCTCGCTGTGCCACTACAGTCCCTGGCCCAAACCCAAGGAAGTAGAAAATGGCTTGGGCTGGACAGACATTTATATAGTGGCAAACTAGGGTCATGGTTTAGAGTATGAATGGACTCAAGCCAGACCACATGGGTTCAAATTGCAGTGTTGGTTTAGATTCACTAGCTGTGTGACCTTGGTCAAGTTAATGAATTTCTTTTTGTCCTCATCATAAAAATGATAATAATGCTACCTGCCTCACAGGGATCTATGAAAATTGGAAAATAATGTGGAAAGTATCTAGACCATAGTAAATCTACCTCCAGGAAGTGATTGTTGTTGTTTTAATCACTCTGTCATTAGTGTGTAAACCCTACAGAGGTGGTGGTGTTTATTTTTTATTCATGGATATATCCTAAGTATCTAAACCAGTGCCCAGGATGTAGTAGTTGTTCAGTAAATGATTTTTTAATTAATGGCCATATTAAGACATAGTAGTGGGGGTTAACTGGGTGTGTAAAAGTGAGCATGCCTTTTACATATTAAGTTGAAAGCTTAGATTTCAGAAAGCAGAATTATAGCTATTTCTGTTGGTGGGATGGGTTCAGATTTTCTAAGGATATTTATCAGTGATGATGGATGAAACAAAACCCTCACCATCTTTGTTGTGTGGTATCTATCTGTGTGTGTGTGTATTATGTATATATATAGTCTCACCACCTCTCAAATGGACGTGGGTTGATGGCTCTTATCATTGTTTTCTTAGGTCCACCTTTCACCCACCAGAGGACACCTCAGAAAATGGTATACTATGGGAAAACGTCTTGTAAAGACAACTATGAACATTATATTGAGATAATAAAGTATGTGTTCAGCTCTTACAAGAGAGAGTCTCCTCTCATCATCAACACGATGGGATGGGTGACAGGTGAGCATGTGTGGCAGAAAAGGAGGGACAGTCTTTGCTGGCTTTTTGCTCTCAGATACCGATGTTGAAACCCAATATTTAAAACACTCTTCTTTTATGATCCCTTCTTTATCTAGGGATAAGAATAACCTTTTCTCGTAGGAGCATGTGGTTGCCCCACAGTCCACTTGATTGTGCTCATGTCGTCATCTCTTCCTCACAGACAAGGGACTCTTACTTCTCATCGATCTCATCCGACTACTGTCGCCCAGCCACGTCGTTCAGTTCAGTTCTGGTCGAAGTAAATACATGCCAAACCTCACCCCTGATTACGTGGACGACACTGATGGCTTGTACACAAAAAGCAGGCCCAAGATAAGAAATAGAGGTTTCTACCTTCCAGAGGCAGAAAATTTGGAATATGCTGACGAAGAAAGAGAGAGTCCAGTTGTGTTTGCTGCACATAAACTAATGTGCGTTCGATCAGAGTTTACGTTTAGAAAAACTCCAAGAAATAGGTAAAGAACCAGTATTTGGCTAAAGAATTACATTTTCTTCAGTATAACAAGGATTTCTGTTCTTGGTGCCTTAAAAGGAATTCATCATCTAAAATATTTCAAATCTTTGTCACAGCTCTGTATTTACTAAGCTGTCAGTTTTCTTTTTTGATTTTTATTGTGATTTGGGTGAAAATTTACAGAGCAAATTCATTTTCCATACAGTAGTTCATACACATTTTGTTTCTAGACATTGACTGCAATTCCCCACACTGTAACAGCTCTCTTCCCACTTCCTCCCTGTAGTTATATCATCCCTGTGCCCTTCCTCCCATGCACTCCCACCCCCTGAGCTGTCTCCCTGCACAAACACTGCCCTTCTGTTCTCCCACGATTGATTGCTACAGTGAGTGTATATACCTGATGTAAATGTTCATCCCATATACCTGTCTATTGTTTGTCTAGAATCCACAGGAGTGAGTTTACTTCCAGACTTGAAGGGTAACTAGGGGCCATAGTCTCAGGGGTCTTACCGGGCTCTATCAGACCAGCAAATACAGTCTTTTTTATGATTTTGAGTTTTGTTCCACATTGTTCTTCCACTCTGTCCAGTATCTCCTGCACTAGTCCCCTTCCAAGTGGTTGACAGTGGTAGCCAGGCACTATGTAGTTCTTCTGGTCTCATGGTCATATAGGTTGAGGATCACATGATCTACTAGTCCCTTGGACTAATTGTTTCCATGTGTTTTCTTCATTCTTTGTTCTGAAAGAGAAGATACCCATTGTTCTATCTAGATGGCCGCTCTCAAGCTTTTAAAATGCCAGTTGCTACTCACCAAAGTAGGATGTAGAACAATGTCTTTATGTAGTATGTTATGCCAGTTGAGCTTGATGTTCTCTGTGACCATGGTCCTGAGCCTGTAGGTCCAACTACTTGTTCCCTCCAGTTAGCTGGCTATGGCCAGGAAGCCACCACAACCTTGTCTCTTGTTAGCTCTAATATACACCCGGACATTCTTATAGCATATACATATATGCATGTAGAAGCATCGTCTGTCAACTCTATACATGGTCATGGGCACACTCCCCACTACCTAGATACACCTGATCATTCAGCCTGTCCACCCATTTATCTACTTGTATATCAATGCTTGCCATCACTGACAACGCAATACTTTACATGCAAAAGCGTTCACCTTTGTTGTCCTTACCTGCTGTGTACCTCTCTGTGTCTTCCTCAGTGCCACCGTGTTGATCGTTCACTTTTGGTACATTGCCCTTCCACAAAGGTGTCAGTTATTTTCTGAACTATTTTCTTAAGTGAAATACTCAGATGCTCCTCTGACTCATGTTGCCTGGAGCTTCAGCTTCAAGAAGAGTCTTCACAAGTTTGTTTTCCGGTTGGACTGGGTCAAGGCAAGGACTGCAGACGCTTGGGGGGTAAACACCTTAAGAAAACAGCCCAGGTCTCTGTAAATGTCATCTGCACAAGGACAGATGTGCTTCTTTTACTATGTGTGAGGTGTGTGGGGTTGAATCTCTGCTAACCTCGCTTTGATTTACTTTTCAGAGAATTACATAACAGAGTTCTTCGTGAATTGGCGGTCTTAGGTTATCTTGGCAAGCTGCAGCCCCTAGATCCAAAGTCAGTTTCTCCTTTACATGGTCTGACACCCTACCAGGTAATCCAAACTCGTGTGGGAGAAATTATCTTTGTTTGGTTAGCATGGCTTCCTATTAACATGCCAGGCACTATTCTAGCCACTTCCCAATTCTTCGCTCCCTCAATCCTCAGAACAACCCTGTGATGTAGGTTCTGTAGTTATCCCCATTATATAGATGTGGAAACTGAGATGCAGAAAGGCTGAATTCAAACCCAGGCAATCTAGCTTTAGAATCCATGCTCTTAACTGTTGCTGTATTTGCTATGAGTGTGGTTTCCTGCTGGGTGAGAACGTCTTCCTGCCAGTGGTGGAGCTAGGATTGGAACCCAGGCAGCCCACGTCCAGTGCTTCCATTTACTGTGTGTGACTCTGTTTTTCATTGTAGAAGGAGGGTAGTATCAGTACCTCGTAGGATGGTTGTATAGAGTCAGTGTGAGGGTTCAGAAGAGAAAGTGTTTGCTAGTACTATTGTTAGAAGTAGATTCTAACACCAGAGTTTTTGCAACTTGGAATCCAAACTGTTGAGAGTTGTTTTGGGACAAAATCACCATAATGGTAGGATTCAGGATGGTAAAAGAAAGAAAATAGCAGCAGATAGCATTTCTTAAATACTTGATCTGTGCCACATGCTCTTCTAAACTATGTTAACTCATTGACTCACCGTGGTCCTATTGCCACTCCCATTTGACAGATGATAAAACTGAGGCCAGGGATGTTGAGTCTGCTTGCCCAGCGTGGCATAGGAAGAGGTTGAGCTGGGATTCAAACACAGGCTGTCTAACTGGAGGGCCCAGAGTCCTAACCCTCTGCTCAACGGCCCTTCCAGGGTGGAGCATTCACTGTGCTAGGCACTATTCTGACACCGTACATGGAATGGGTCATTCACTGGCTCTTTAGGGCAACCCTGTGAGGTCAGTGCCATTATTGTTCCCTGTTGACAGAAGACTGGCCCAGTCAGGAGCCACTTATCAGGGGTCACACAGCCAGAGGTGGTGGACTGGGTAGCCCAAGAGTATCTCCTGAGCCTGATGCAGAGATAGGCTCGGGGCTTCCACGTCAGCTCCCCTGGAGCATTGCAGGCAGTTCCTTTAGGGGGTCATTTGTCTCCTTGGAGATGCTCTGTAACTGAACTTGCAACTTACCTGCCAGTAATTTAACTTTATGGCCCTTGAGTGGTTCCATATTTATTATTATAAAAAAATTGATGACCTAGAAAGTTAAGGAGCCTTGGTGGCATAATGGTTAAGTACTTGGCTACTAACCAAAAGGTTGGCAGTTTAAACCTACCCAGTGGCTCCGCAGGAGAAAAACCTGGCCATCTGCTTCCAAGACTACAGCCTAGAAAACCCTATGGGACAGTTATACTCTGTCCTATGGAGTCACTGTGAATCAGAACTGGCTCAACAATAACAAAATTATTTATCTTAAGCTCTTGGAACAGTCTGCTTTTCTTACTCAGTAGGTTACACTAGGAAATGAGGAGAGGCCTTTGCTCCATGCGTTGATTTTTACTGTTTACCACAGGCAACACTCTGTAAATGGAGATTTCACAGTTACTAACCTGAATGTCTCCTTCAAACTCGTTCAGGACACCTCCAGACTTTCATTTTACATGTATGAACAAGAAAGTTCTGATCGTGCGGCTTTAGATTTCTCACAAGTGTCGCTGGTACCTGAGAATGATGTGTTGATTCCTTAGGTCACTGCATTAAAACAGTGACACCTCACCAGATGCCGTTTATTGAGGGTGCTGGTGTTTATAGGTAACTTTTGGTAGTCAGTTTGGCAGACAAATCTTTAGATAGCTGGCTACTCATTTGTAAGAATTACAGGCAATCTGTCAAAGTCAAGATAACAGAGGGCAGTGCACATTGATTTTCCAGGTTCCCTTCAATGCAGTCGCACTACGGATCATGCATGCGGATGTCGCCCCTACGCACATCATGTATGCTGTGAATGCCAGCTGGGTCGGCCTCTGCAAGATCCAGGATAATGTCAGAGGCTACGTGAATGGGCCCATCCTACTCGCCCAGACTCCCCTTTGTGACTGCGTGGGGTTTGGTGAGTCTCAGATGGTAAAATATATCCATAGCCTTAATCAAATGGGTTTACATCTGTAACTGTTGATCGCTGGCCTCAGCTATTTTTCAGCTGGAGTGGTCAGAGAACTCACCCTTCTAAGTGGATGCTTTGGGGGCTAGAGACCAGAAGAAAGTACCTCTTCTTGCCTCTCCTGCCAACTCCTCTAAATATAAGATTCCTAAGGTCTGGGTCATAAAGAAAACAAAAATCCTCACAACTGGACCAGTAAGCAACATCATGATAAATGGAGAAAAGATTTAAGTTGTCAGGGATTTCATTTGATTTGGATCCATAATCAACACCAATGGATGCAGTAGTCAAGAAATCAAATGATATATTGCATAGGGTAAATCTGCTGCAAAAGACCTCTTTACAGTGTTGAAGAGCAAAGATGTCACTTTGAAGACTTTGGTGAGCCTAACCTAAGCCATAGTATTTTCTTTTTTTTTAATTGTGTTTTGGGTGTAAATTTACAGAGCAAATTCACGTTCCATACAGCAGTTCACATACACTTTGTCTCATGACATTGACAGCAATTTCAGCAATGTAACAGTTCCCCTTCCACTTCCTCCCCATAGTTACTTCTTCCCTGTGTCCGTCCCTCCATTTACTCCTGCCCCCTGAGCTGTCTCCCTGTGCATAAACAGCCCTTCTTTCTCCCATGATTATTCTCTCCAAGGAGTGTATCTACCTCAGGTAAATGTTCAACTCATATGCCTGTCTTTTGTTTGGCTGGAAGCCACAGGTGTGGGTTCAATTCCAGACCTGAAGGGCAGCTAGGGGCCATAGTCTCAGTGATTCCACCAGGCTCTTTCAGACCAGCAAACCTGGTCCCCACCCCTTTTTTTTCCCCAAATGATTTTGAGTTTTGTTCCACATTGTTTTCCCACTCTATCCAGGATCTCCTACATAGATCCCCTTCCAAGTGGATGACAGTGGTAGCCAGGCACCATCTAATTCTTCTGGTCTCATAGTCGTATAGGCTGTGGATCGCGTGGTATACCAGTTGCTAGGACTAATTTTTTCCATGAATCTTTGATTTTCTTCATTCTTCTTTGCTGTGGACAAGGAAAGACCATTGTTGCATCTAGATGGCTGCTTGCAAGCTTTTAAGATCCCAGTCGCTACTTGGCCAAAGTAGGAGGTGTAACAGTGTTTTGTGTAGTATGTTATGCCAGTTGAGCTTGATGTCCCCTGTGGTTATGGTCCCAAGCCCACAGGTTCAACTACTCGGTCCCTCTAGGTAGCTGGCTGTGACCAAGAAATGACTACAAACTTGTCCCTTGTCAGCTCTACTATACATCTAGGAATTCAGATCATACAAGCCCTAGTATTTACCCTCATATGCATGTCAAAGCTGGACAATGAATAAGAAAGAATGAAGAAGAATTGATGCCTTTGAATTACGGTGTTGGTGAATTTAGTTACTCAAGGATCATGCTACCTTTGGGTCAACTTAGATCCAGCTCCCTTTCATGTACCACAGATACTGACTGACCTCAGTGAGCTAGACCATGGACTGAATAGACCATGGACTACCAGAAAAATGAACAAATCTGTCTTGGAAGAGATACAACCAGAATGCCCCTTAGAACGGAGAATTGGTTCAACACTGTTGTTCTCAAAAGTACTGTCATGTAACTTATGTCATTTAGGACAGAACCATAAAGCAGAACTGATGATGGAGAAATACTGAGTCATCTTCCATGTGTTCTTCATTTAATGAGACTTCATTTTGCTTACTTGGGACATGTTATCAGGAGGGAACAGTCTGGAGATAGAACATCGTGCTTGGTAAAGTGGAGAGTCAGTGAAGAAGGGGACGACTCTCAATGAGATGGACTGACACAGTAGCTGCAAAAATGGGCTCAGATATACCTACTATTGTTAGGGTGGTCCAGGACCAGGCAGTGTTTCGTTCTGTTGTGCGTAGGGTCACTTTGAGTCAGAACTCACTCAACAGCACCTGTTGTTGTTGTTGTTGTTATGTGCCGTCGAGTCGGCCCCGACTCATAGCGACCCCTCCTTGGGTTTCCGAGGCAGTATCACTACGGAAGTAGGATTGCCCAACCTTCAACAAAAGTCTGAGTGATGGCCCTCTTCTCACTTGATGCTTTTTCTCCAGGTCTGCTTACCCACTGTTGGGCTTTACATCTATCATTAGGCTAATCATCCCATTGGACCTCCAGCCTAGTGTGAGGTCTGAGTCCCAGCCCCAGATTGCTGTTGGACAGCTCCACTCAGATGTCTCATTGCATCTTAGACTTGATGTGTCTGAGCTCCTGGTGGGACCTTACACTCCCCGCATTCCCACCCACCCTACACCATCTCCTTTTGTTGTCAGGCCTGTAAGTGGCCCCTTCATTCTTCCTGTTCCCATCTGACCCCTGGGTTGCCCTTGGCACTTCCTCTCCTTCATTGGCCATATCCAAACCTTAGTAGGTCTTGTAGTTTCTGTTTTCAAAATATGTTGGATCTCTCCCTCTCTTCTCTCCATGCTTATTAAGCCACTGGAAAAGCTTAACTGGGCCTTCCACTCTATTTCTTAAAATTCTTCCTCATAGTCAAGAGATAAGAGCACAGGCATGAGTATGTCCCATCCTGTCACTTACATTGCACATTAAGCTCACAGTCAACATTGTAGCACTAGGTTCCTGCTTCTTTTGCCAATTGCCACACATTGTGGTTCCTCTGGTTCACTGGGGTCAGTCAGTGTCCGTGGTTGTTCATGGAATGGAGCTGGACCTAAGTGACCCAAAGTTAGCACAATCCTTGAGTAATTATATACACTTTTGAGATTGGTTCAACACTGTTGTTCTCAAAAGCACTGTCATATAAATTATGTCATTTAGTACAGAACGATACAGCAAGAATTGATGATGGCGAAACACTGAGTCATCTCCCGTGTGTTCTTCAGTGGTTGGTTTTCTCGCTGTCCTGTGCTCGCCTTACTTAAACCTTAATCTAAGGCTTTCATTAGGCCGTTTTGGTTCATCACAGCTGAACAAAGGGAAAGTACAAAGAGTCTTGTCTCTGGACGCTTTGCATTTTCAAAGCAAAGCAGTTGAAATTGATACTTGATTTAAATGCTATCCTGTGATCCTTTGTGGTGGGTAAGCTTGCTGTCTTTCTGAAAGGATGACTTTTGCATTGTGAATGTGTCTTCAAGGGATCTGCAGAGGGATTGATATGGAGAAGAGGCTTTACCACATCCTCACCCCTGTGCCCCCAGAAGTGCTGAGAGACGTGAACTGTCTACTGATCGGAGCTGTTTCCATCCCACAGTGTATCTTCAAGAGCCAGGTGAGTGTGACTTCCAGGGTGGGCCTCAGAGGGACCCTGGCCGTGTCCATAGTAGAGAACGTGAGGAACTGAGATTGGGGCGAGTCACTGTGAACAGGTTATTGTTTGGGAAACTTATACTTTGTTGTAGAGCCTAAATATGGCATGATGGAACATCAGGATGGTCACAAAGGTCTGAGGCTATAAGTTGCCATCATTCGAGGCCAAGAGCCCCATGGGAGAGCCTTGATCACAGGAGTAGGTTGTATGGGAGAAGAGAGCAGAGATAGCCTCCCTTGGATTACCTCTTCCTAAGGACTGTCTTCGGATCCATTAACAGGAAGATGCTGAGTTGCTGTCTATTGGCCAAGGGCATCCCAAGGATATTGGTGTGGCCCCAGAGCCAAACCGCAGGGGCTGCAAGTAGAGTGGGAGGCCTGCTTTTCTTATCTGCTTATTTCACATACTTGAGAGAGCACACACATCCTCACGCTGTTTGTTGATAGGTTTGTGGAATTGAATTGTACAGAAAGGAGGCACAGTCAAGTTTGCAACTGGGCTAATTGTTTTAAGTGAGCCCTTTGAGGGGAGGAAAGGGGCCTTAAAGGCAGAGGTCCTTTCTACTCAACTCCCATTTTTAACATCATCATCTGGGGAAGAAATAAAATTGTGTAGACTCTCTTGCTTAAATTTTGAGTGTTTCCATGTATTTGTTTGTTTCTATTTCAGCATGGGCTTGAAGGAACAATACCTTACGTCACAACAGATTATAATTTTAGCCTTCCCGGAGCACGAGAGAAAGTTGGAGCAAGAGACTCTGAGCAAAACTATGAAGAGAAAAGATACCCAAGACCTAAACTGTATCGAAAAATATACCGATACTGATATTTTTAATAGTGGGAGAAATCTGTCTGCCAGAAGGCTTGATGCTGTATTTTTCTCTAACCTAACATCGACAGACTTCATGGTGTTTTATGGATACGAATGGCACACTTATCTAGCAAACAGTATTTCTATATAATTCATGAATATATTTAGTAGTAATTGTTTTAAAGTTTCTCTTGTCTTAAGGCTATACGATCAAGAATTTTGCCTTCGACTTCTATATGGTTAATCATACTCCTTGTCTGTTTGTGGAAGCAGGGAAAAGGGCACCATTAGAACAGAATTCAGTTGATCAAAACACTCTCCAAGGTTCTGGTAGTTGGAATCAGGATGAGAATAGTAAAACTGGGGCCACAAAAGGGTACCAGGGAGAATAGCAAGGGAGATGTTGGGAGCAATGGACTGTGAAGACTGACTCCTTCCTCACTGCCATGAGGTGCAGGTTGAGGGGGGGACCCCGACTGTGGTTTCCTCCTTGGCCTCTAGATGGATGGTCACGCCCTGGGTGCTCCTGCTCTGTTCATTTGATTCTAAATAAGTTATCTTCTGTTGATGGTTTCAGTGATAAAAGATGATGTTTGGTCTGTTCAGTTTAATCAAGGTTTAATAGCTAAAAGTTTGGATTGAAGAGCTCTTAATATATTTTTTGTCCCTGTGGTGTAATGCTGAAGAAATTACTCTCAAAACCAGAAAACATCTCCTGCGGGCTCTTTAAAACTGGCTGTATCCTTGAGTTCTCATCTGAGGCTGAAGACACAGCCGTGGGCCGAGCTGGAAATGAGAATGTTTGGAAGAAGAACTGGCAGGCCAAGTCTTGTGAAAAGGCCTTGAGCAGCTGGGTCTGAACTTTTACATACGAACAGCAGTGAGTTTTAGAGCTTCCTCCAAGGATGAGCAAAAGACCAGGGGTGATGCCATTCTCCACAGGGGGGAAAAATGGAAAGCCATTCTTCATATTCACCTGAGTAGTCATAGTCTTTATATTCTAAGGTTGGAAGTGATTCTTGTAAACCAGGGTACTTGGACCAGGTGGTATCATTTCTGAATTTACAGGCAGTGAGATACGTCCTGGGGCAGCATTTCAAACTGCTGGTGTGACCACGTCGGCAGAATTAATAGCCCTCTTCCTAGCATGAGCATTTGAAGAATGATGTGAAAGTGGGATGTATGAGTCTTAACATTTATGTTTATTTAAACTGTAGATTATCAGTGTCTTAAGTACTTTGTGGGGGCCCTTCAGCATCTCATACCTACATGAGAGGACAGGCAGGAGCCCTCTGTCACCTTCCTCAACACCCAAGAGACCACTTAAGTTTGAGCTTTTTAGTTGCCTCTTATTTACTTCCATGTTTAGCTTGTATCATATTTTTCTATCTTGGTCTTGCAAAGAGTTTTAACAGATAACCCACCACCATCAACTTGTTTCTTCTTTCTCCAGTTCCTTATACCTTTCAGGTAATACTACAGATCATTAGCAGCAAGTTTCTGAAAGAATGAAAGTGGTGGCCCTGTAATTTGCATTTTTATCAAATCCAGGTTGCCTTTATCCTAATTTCCTTCTGGCCATCAAGAATGCCCTCCTGTCTTCAGTCTAAGGAGCCCCGGTGGTACTCAACTGCTAACCAGAAGGGTCAGTGGTTTGAACCCACCAGCCTGTGGGGCAGGTCAACTCTGCTCTGTAGGGTCACTGTGGACTCCAGGGCAGCAAGGTTTTGGAGTCGGTTTTCAGTCTCCATCAATTAAGAAGAAAGCAGTGCCGCTAGAGGGAGCTGTTGACTATTCATCAGATGGCTGTTCTGGGACTAGAGTTGGCCTCAGGAACCAAGGCTGTGTCAGACTTTTCCAAGGGGGTTCAGTAATCCTGCGGACTTGCTCTGGGTATGCCTGGTCAGACCTTCAGTGACACCGTCCTCCCTGGATGTCTGACCATTTAATTATTGATGTTGGTAGCTTAGATATCAAAAGAAGTATAGAATTAGTCCTTTACTCATTTCTATAGTCTGTTACATACATGATTATGAGAGGTACTCTGGTGGTGCCGTGGTTAAGGCATTGGGCCGCTAACCAGAAGGTCAGACCAAAAGGTCGGTAATTGGAGCCCACCAGCTGCTCCACAGGAGAAAGATGAGGCATTCAGCTTCCATAAAGATTTATAGCCTTGGAAGCCCTGTGGGGGGTCGCTGTGAGTCCGTCAACTTGATAGCAATGGGTTTGTGTTTTTTTTTTGTATGGTCTATTATAGTTCATAATGGATAATAAAAAGTTCTACATTGGATTATCCTTTGCAAAAAAAAGTATTTTTTTGTACTTGATTTCCGAAGTAGTAGTAATAATGGTTATTGGTTGCCATGGGGTCAGTTCTGACTCATAGTGACCCCATGTGTGCAGAGCAGAACTGCTCCATAGTATATTCAAGGCTGTGACCTTTTGAAACCAGGCCTTCCTCCCAAGAAGCTGCTGGATGAGTCCAAACCATCAACTTTTCCACTAGTGTTGAGTGCTTAACTGCCACCCAGGGACTTCAAAGTAGTACATGCTGGTTTTTTTTTTTTTTTTACTTATGTAACTACAAGGCTTAGAAAGTGAAAACCCTTAATTGCCTACATCTGAAGTTCTTTGCAATCAGTTCTTTTAGAGATCCATTTATAGGAAAGGTAGGTAGGAAAAGAAATGAGAAGATTGACATATTCTAAGATTTATTGTATTTTGAAAACAAAGTTCACTTGTTGCATCTGTCTGACCTGTCGACCTTCTTGGAAGCAGGGTCTGGATGTATTGTCTGCACCCATGGCTTGGAGTTTGATATGAAAAAGGGGAGGATATTTGGGCAAGTGCTTCAAGTGCCCTGGAAGAGGATGGCATGTGTGCCATGAGAACCCAGACTGGGCAGAGGGGTCCCACGTCCTCTGCCTGGACCCCTGCCCCAGCAGGTAGTTAGCCTGCCAGATACTCTGGTCTCTGCTCACCAGACAGATTGTGGCAACCAAACAAGATTGTGTGAACTGGACCTAGGCAAGGGGTTCTTTTTGTTGTACCAGTTGGTGACTTCTTTTAATTGCCTAATCAATAAGATTTTTTTTTTTTTTTTTCTTTATGGTTTGGATTGCAGTATGTGATAAGACAGTGGGTCTTGATAATAGAACCCTGAGTTCAAATTCTGGCTCTGCCTCTTGCTAGCAGTGAAAGGTCTTTAACCTCACCGAGCCTGCTTGCTACTTTTTAAGAGGGAGTAACAGTTCCTCCCTCAGCATTCTATATGAGACAGACTATAAAGAAGGTTCAGCATAGTCTGGCACATGGTAACTATTGATGTGCAGTCTTATTTTTTTTTTATTAGATTGTAACCTCCTAGAAGGCAGGGACTACAGTGGTGTCCCTCACAGCTGGGTTTGAATGATGCAGAAGCTGGATGTTTGAAACTAAGCTACAGCTGCCACCTCTGCCCTCCTGCCTCCAAGCAGTGCTAAAGCTGTGCTTGTGGCCCAGTGTCATGTTTTATTTAAAGAGCTCTAGGGAAGCAGGCTCCATGGCCTCCGTTGAGCCCGTTCATTCCAGGGGATTTTTCTTAAACCCACATATATTTTTGAATTTTATAAACAGATTACACATGGAAAATAATCTTTAAGTCTACCACCGCGTGGATAATCACTGTTAATGCTGTGGTGCTATTTCACATGGTATTTTTCTATACATATGTGTGTGAATGTGTATTTTGTGTTTTTCTGTTTTTACTGAATTAATGTCCTACTGTATATGTGGTTTTCTATCCAGTGTTTCTTGTTTCACATACCAACTTCTGTATCATTAAATATTTTTGAAAACATGAATATAATTTCTGTGTAATCCAATTAAGTAAGTAGATCATTTTATTCCAGGAAAATATTTAACCGCTTAGAAATTATGGCAGAAACATGAGGGGAGAAGATGCTGAGAGGGGGTTAACGAGATCTGCATGCCAGACGCAAGGAAAACGTTGGAAACTGCAACAAGTATCTGTGCCTTCTTCCCATTTCAGTATTGAGGACAGTGGGAATTTTCATTTTTCTGTTTGGGCATGTGACCTAGGGTACCTGGTCCTTTTCTGGACTGTCTTTTAAAGTGTATCAGAAGGAAAGGGCTTTGCTCCCTGAGGAGCTCAAATTAAAAAATGAAAGAAAGAAGCAGGGGGTCTGCCTGTGTTCTGCTCTTGGGGCTTCTGCATGCGGCTGGCCTGGCAGAGAGAACAGCCTTGGCTGACAAGCTGAGCCTGAACGGTGGCTAAAATAAATATGGAGGCCATCTGTGCAATAAGGGGGAAAATGCTCACGTGACCCTCTGTGCTTCTACAGAAAGACCTTGCTAAATTAAGTACTTCCAAGGCTCTGCCAGGAAAAAGCAAGGAAGGGGGCGATTGGTGGGGGCACAGTGTGCAAGGAGACACACTGAGTTGAGAGGAAGCAGGTCTGATCTGGAAATGCCACAAGCTGAGTAAGCAAGATTTGGGCATCATCAAATAGAGCTGAGCTGGGCAGACAATGTGCTGGGCTTGGAAGCCAAGGGTTGCTATGGCAACTGGCCCTGATGTTGCTCTGGCGCTCAGCAGACAGGCTCCAGTTTTTCTAAGGCTTTGGAACTTGTTTGGGTCTCTGGGCGGTGAACCTCTGCCTGGCAGGGGAAATTACCAAACTTGGAGGCCTTCTTCCTAGCCAGGGGGGGTCCAGCAGAGGGGCTGCTGCTGGCCTAATGTCTTTTAGGGGCATTGTTTTCTGGGAAAGAAGGAAAGGCACCCACCAAGGCAGTCAACAGTGCAAGGAGTCTGTTCCAGGAAGTGAATGGGTACGTGGAAATGGAAAATCCAAGGGGAAACAAACCACCAGCAAGGAAACTCAGCACCGTGGCTGCACAGCCCATAGGTTGAATTCTACAGCACCCGGTGGGGGGAGGGTGGTTGGAGGGGAGCACATGGGCCAAAGCTAGAGCACCATGGTTTTAAGTGCAGCCAGATTCAGCTGGAGGAATTA